TGAGTGAGGACCCCCTTGCTACAGCGAACAGAAAAATTATAATAGAGAGAGTCTCAGAAAGGAGTTGATCTACCCTGAAAACTTTTCCTGAAAGTACCTAAAAGCTTCTTCACGAGTACATTCATCTAGAATTAGGGATTTTTCTTGCTTTACCACACTTGCCTTATTTCAGGCAGCCACCACGACCAAGAAGCCAGTACGTGAGTTTTGAGCTCATTTGATTGAATCCTTTTGATAAATCATGGGATTGTAGGTAGGTAAGATTATCACGATTTAATTCCCGTGGAGCCAGTCTCTCATCGAAAAAAAAATTGTATTTTGATGCGCTGTAAGTCTGTCTGTTTCCTAAGGGCGTGGCCAAAAACTGCTTTGCAGAAAACATGCTTGTACACACTTGGGGAGCGTCCTGCTAGGAGTTTTCGCTATCATATGTGGAATTCTGAAAGATATTAGATATCTTCAGGATTTTCCCTGATGAATGATACTTCACTTGGCTATGCTAATTCCAGAGTGAATCGAGCTCAAAAATGCGTCGTTGTTCCCGCCAGTTGGCTGCGCCGATCGCTTCGCATCCGCGCGCTCGATTGTCACCTTCTTAAGTTTAAGTCGTTTGCTTGCCTCGATTATACATGTATTCTTTCAGCTCTATGCGGGAAATGCATGCCAGCAAAGGTAACACTGATTCCTGCTAGTGGAGCGGGAACTGTCAAACCAACTATCAAGTGAGTAGTTCTGATGGATTTCCGTCATAACCATGTGGGAAGGGGTAACATTTGCAGAACAGAATCTTGACTCGCTTGATATTTTCTGAACTATTTCCTAGACCCATAATGCCTGTAACAGCGCCTTCACCTACTGAATCTGTGAACACACCTAACGGGGATTTTTTCCAAAATTGTCGGTCAGGAGATTCATGTTGCAGCGACGTGGCGGGAATGCTTTCGTAAGCGGCATCATGTGGGCCACATTCGCACCAGAGCTTGACTGATTTCTTGTGAAATTTGAATTTGTCAAATAGCTAAGGAGTACGGGTTAGTTGCCATTCTGTGTGGATCTCCCAATCGTATGCTTTTCCTGTTTTGAGTATTTAGACGGCTGAGAGCTCACCCGGGGCCGAACCTAGCAACCACACACCCATACAGTAGTTACAGTAACAATACAGCTACCCAGAGCAGAACTTATTCCACATATATTATATTTACACCAATAGG